TCTCTCTCTCTCTACTGGAATCCTTAAGCAGAAACAAATGAAATAGAATATGAATATGAATATTTGCCAGTTGGGAGTAATACAGTCAAAAGTTTGTCTTTGAAAAGATTTATAAGAAACTTCTGTTTGAAGGGCTTCTTATCCTTTATTGTGAATCTTCTGATGAAACATTGTGCCAGTTTTTGTTTATCTAAAATGTCTTTTACCTTTATTTTTCAAAGGAATTTTTTTTTTGTTTTGTTTTTGAGACAGAGTCTCGCTCTATTGCCTGGCTTGAGTGCAGTGGCACAATCTTGGCTCACAGCAACCTCCGCTTCTTGGGTTCAAGTGATTCTCCTGCCTCAGCCCCTCCAGTAGTTGGGATTACAGGTGCTCAGATACACCCAGCTAATGAAAAAAATAGCTCAGCTAATTTTTGTATTTTTAGTGGAGATGGGGTTTTATCATGTTGGCCAGGGTGGTCTTGATCTCTTGACCCAGTGATCTGCCTGCCTTGGCCTCCCAAAATGCTGGGATTACAGGCGTGAGCCACCCTGCCTGGCCAAGATATTTTTATTAGGTAAGAAATTCTAAGCTAGCAGTTATTTATTCATTTAGTTATTCATATTGTTTTGAGATGGAGTTTCACTCTTGTCTCCCAGGCTGGAGTGCAATGGCATGATCTTGGTTCACTGCACTCTCTGCCTCCCAGGTTCAAGTGATTCTCCTGCTTCAGCCTCCCAAGTAGGTGGGATTACAGGCACCCACAACCATGCCCAGCTAATTTTTGTATTTTTAGTAGAGACAGAGTTCCATCATGTTGGTCAGGCTAGTCTCAAACTCCTGACCTCCGGTGATCTACCCACGTCAGCCTCCCAAAGTGCTGGGATTACAGGTGTGAGCCACCACACCTGCTAGCAGTTACTTTTTAAGTCATTTGATGATATTATTAATATTACATTGCTCTCTGATAATTGTTTTCTAGGGAGAAGTCAACTCTTAAGTTTTTCCTTTAGAAATCATCTTTTCTGTCTGACCACTTCCAAGAATATTATTATTAATTATTGTTAGTTTTTGCTTTGTCGGTAAGTTTATTGTCTTTATCTGAGAAATCCTCATGAAAAATTGTTTGGCTTAGCTCTCAGCAGCCCACTCCCGAGCTCTGAAGAAGCTTGCCCTCTTATGAGCTACAGGGTCTTTCTTCTGAACAAGTGACATTTTGGGATGGTTCCACTTCTTTTTAACTTCTTTCTTGGGCTGCTTCTCATGTACTGCATTCCCTTGTATAGCAGCATGAGTGTTCTTATACATCTCCTCCATCATGTCTGGAGTTACGCCGTTCTTTATTTCTTGTAAGCATCTTCATCTTCTTCCCTTAAGTAGTGCGTGTAATCTGCAGCATTGTGGCCCATGATGTGCTTCTGATGTACTTCTGCATTTCAGAATCATAACCAGGAAATCGTTTGCTACTGTGAGGCATAGAGAAGCCTCCATCCACAGCTCCCTTTAGGGTGCTAAAAACTTTATTGCCTGTGAATTCTGGCAAGGCCTGCATCAAGATAGCAGGTAAAGGCACCTGGCTGACCATCGATGCTTTTCACATTGTATTCATCTCCAGTCACCTCCACTTGGCCTTCGTAGATCTTGTCCATGCCAAACCTACTGAGAATCCTGCGGGCCAGCAGCGGGCCAGTACAATATGCTTTAGCATCATTTTTCAGGCCAACCTTCACACTATATTTTGGCAGTTCATGTGCACATACTGCACGGACTATCATATTCCCTTCTATATGGGACTAAGCAATCTGTCAAATGATACCTGTGTTTGTTGCACAAACTATCATCCTGTATTTGGGTGTGCTGTATTTATTTTTATCCTGTATCACTAAGCATTTCCATGCATAATAATCAGTTTTACCCTCTTGTCATCTTCTAAAGTTCACTTGGTATCTTTCAAAGTAGCCCTTATTCTTAACAACTTTAACAAATTCCATCCTGTGGAACAGAGACCTGCGTCAGGGGCTTG